GGGTTTTTTATTAATACTTGAGATTAAAATTATTTTAATCCAGACATCTATCTAATCTGTGGAAATAATACATGCGCTTCCTTCTTCTGGACTCACCTATAACTAACCAGCCTGACTGGCTTAACAGAACCTTTTCTCTCTCTCCTTCTTCTACTCTTCTCCCTTTCAAAAATAGCCCAATATATGACACAATCATTCTCATTCTCATGTTTTCTATGTTTTTGTATTGATGCTTTCTATTGCACAATAAGTGTATATTGCAGAGTTTGATGATGTTTGGCAAATGGCACAAAAAAAAACAATATTGAGAGGCAAGGTCAGGGCAGTCTGTCTCCACAGTTTTCACCATTTGAGCAGCCCTCTCTTCCTTCCCTCAAATAACCCAGCTTCTTCCAGTTCTTATATTTCCTCTTCACGCGCCCAGTGCCCTATCATTAAATGGCTTATCATTAAATGGCTAAGTCATCCCTTTTGAAGGTGTTAATTGTTAAGTGATATCTCCTGGTGTAGTAACAATTTTAAAAGGACAATCTTGAAGAAGAAAAGAGAGTGACCTTCAGAAACACATTATCATCTCCTCCAACCCTGTATGAGAAGTCAATGATGACTTAGAAACCACTTCTGAAAGTTTGCCAGTCATTGACAGAGTCCTTTTTACATCTTCTACTTTCAAAGCTTTTCTACAAATGTCACCCCTTTTGAACTTTCAAACAACCTAAAAGGCAGGTAAAGGATAATTATCACCAGCTTACCAAGAATGATACTAAGTCACAATAGATTAAATGAGTCCCCAAAGATCACGCAGCTGGTTGGTGTCAGCATGGACAGCAGCAATCCTGGCTCTGCAAGTTCTCAAAATAAATTATTTTTCCCACCACAGAGACAGTTCTCAAATTTCATCCCTGGAAACTGATGGCTGCATGACACTTTCCATGAATGTCCTCCTATCTATAATTACCTGCCTCTCTCAGTCCAAATAAGTTCCAGAACATAAAACCGAGCTCTTTCAGCTGACTCTCTCTAATAGGAATATAATGAGGGTACTTTTGTTCTATCATATAATATTTCTGCTATTAGTTGGTTAAGTGGTATTATATTGAGCCTCAGGATTGTACTAACCCTAGACTAAAAGGATACTTTAAATATCAAATAAGGAGCAGAAAAAAAAAAACATAAAATAAACTAAAATTTATACCCCAGCCTCCCATTTGGGAAATACTCTTTCAAACTATTCTAAGGCCGAGTGTGGTAGCTCTCACCTATAATCCCAACACTTTGGGAAGTCAAGACAAGAGGACCACTTCAGGCCAGGAGTTCAAGAGCAGCATGGGCAACATAGGGAGACCCCATCTCTACCAAAAATAAAAAATTAGCCAGGCATGGTGGTGCACACCCACGGTCCTAGCTACTTGAGAGGCTAAGGTGGAAGGATCGCTTTAGCCCAAGAGGTCAAGGCTACAGTGAGCCATGATTGTGCCACTGCACTCCAGCCTGGGTCACAGAGTGAGGCCTTGTCTCTAAATAAATAAATAAATAAGTATTCTATTTTAAACTATTTTGTTCTTAAAGCACAGCTTCTGCTGTCATATTGGGAATAGTGGCTACCAGAGAAAGGAGGAGATGAACATTGTGTGTTTAGATCTTCCATGGAAGCATTCAGAAGAAATGTCATTAGGTTTGTCATACTGGGGAGTTTCCCTACTGCTCTGCTACAGCATTAAGACCTGGAGGGCATCATTCATCACTCAGCGTAAGATATGTAACACTGCCCCCAAGAGCACAGAACACAAAGTGTTCTTCCAAAGACCGTGTTTCAGACTAAAGGAGTGAAAAGTTTTCAAGTCATGTTTCTTATCCAAAGCAATCATCAACATTGCTTTTTGTGTAGCCTTCCACCATGGACACCCCTACCAACACCACACAACCCTAGCAATGCCCTCCATTCTCAAAGACAATCCACAGCTTCCCTCTGTCTCCGGGATAAAGGCCACATCCGCAACCTGGTATACGACTCTTCATGGCACAGTCTAAGGACCTCTTTCCAGCCTAGGCCTGACACTTTCCTGTGTTTCACACAGATTCAAGTACCTCCTATTTCTCACAAACACCCTCAACTTTCCTGCTGCCTTATCTGTTCAAGTCACTTCTTTCATGTGGAATGCTCTGTCCTTTTCCTATCTATCCAATTCCCACTCAGTGTCAAAGCCCAGCTCAAAAATTTGCTTTGCCCCAAATGTAGATATTTATTTATATGTCTTCTCTCTCCTTTTCAGTGATCATTTAAAAGGTACCTAATGCAGCAAATTGTTCATGATAAGTGCTCAATAAATTTAGTCGGGTGAATAAACAGATAAATTTCATGCATCCACTCCATAGTCTTATGAGCCAGGAAGGTACAATAAGGTCTTCTTGGCAGACCTACCCAATGTCAGTCATGAATCAGTAGAATGTTAGCAAGAACACTAGACGTTCTGCAGCTTGCTTGTTGCAACTTGTCTTTTTCCCCCATCTATGACCCAGGGGTTTATACCTCTTGTTGCAGTTGAAGGTCTTATACATACGTCCTACAACAGGGCATAAAGTTTTTGTCTTTGAGTCACAAAGTTTTGAGGTATTAAAAATAAAAACTTTTTTCCCTAGAAGGCTGTCTTTCTTACAATACTGCATCCTTTAGAGGTAGTTTAAAAAAACAAATCTTAAATAAATAGTTGAGATCCCAAATGGAAGACAGATGCTTGTCCTATATAGAGAGATTGCCAGCTTGTCCTTGATTCCCAGAACACATCCAGAGTGGTGATGGTAGTGAATAAGTTCACTTGTGGCTCCGCTGGTGTCCTCCTCCCTAACTAAATCGGTGCCTGTGGAGTGTGACTGGAGAGTTGACCAAATGCAATCCACCCAGCAGGGTCACCAAGGCCACTGAAGCATGAGTCTGCATTTTTCAAGTCGATGTAATAGAATCTGAGCCTCACATAGTGGAGGGTGGATCAGAAGGCTATCTGGTAGCCAAGGGTGCTGCTGGGGCTTTAGAAAAACAGCACAAGGCTGTAATCGAACGCCGTCCAGCACATTCAGCCAGTTAATCATCTCAGTCATCCATGTTTTATTCATAAACATGAGGAACGATGTTTCTTTGGCTGCTTGCTTTGCCCTTTCAAGTTACACCAATATTATACCGTCCCAATGTTTTCCTTCATGTCACATAAAACGCACGTGGCATCTTGTCACCAGAGATGTCTCTACCAATATTGGACTGAGACCGGCTGGTTACTGTTGCTCCCAGAGCTAGCACGATGAGCATTTGTAATTCAAGGGCAAGGTTTTAAGTTGTTCTTCAAACCCCATTAAGGCTGTAAGTCCATGGAGATGTGTAACAAATAACTATGTAATCCGAGGGCAGAGTAGACCAAATTACCAAACAGGCTTATCTCACCTCAATTATTCATTTTATGTCAGTCCTGAAGGAGATTTAAAATGTTAGGATTGGCCAAGCGTGGTGGCTCATGCCTGTAATGCCAGCACTTTGGGAGGGTAAGGTGGGCGGATCATTTGAGGTCAGGAGTTTAAGACATCCTGGCCAACATGGTAAAACCTGTCTCTACTAAAAATACAAAAATTATCTGGGCGTGGTAGCACCTGCCTGTAATCCCAGCTATTGAGGAGGCTGAGGCCTGAGAATCACTTGAACCTGGGAGACGGAGGTTGCAGTGAGCTGAGATCATACCACTACACTCCAGCCTGGGCGACAGAATAATACTCTGTCTCAAATAAATAATTACTTAACTAAATGATAGAATTATTTGTTTTATTTTTTAAATGGTAAAAAGCCAGCAGGAAATTCTTGGTAGCCAATCCATCAAATTTAATCACAAAGGGAGCCCAATCGTGATGCAAGTTCACCCTACCTGGATGAATATATCCTTTCCACAAGGTTCCAATTTCTCTTGTTTTAACCCTAATTGTACAGATGTAAATGCAAAGCCTCATCAGGAATGTTTACAAATTACCTCTGAGCAACGACTGTGCTTTACTCACTCTTCCACCCTGGGCTCTAGCAGGCTTTCCATCACAGTGATTAGGAGCAGGGACTTGGAGCCAGACTTCCGAATTTGCTCTCGCTAGCTGCGTACATTTAGTGAATCTCTCCAGGCCCCAGTTTCCTCATTTGTAAAGTGTAAATAATAATACTAATACCAACTCATCTAATTATTGTGATAACTGAATAAATCAATGCATAGGAGGTGCTTAGCAGGGCCTTAGTATATAGTCAATAAATGTGAACTGGTCATTGCACTCTCATGAATTTACTCTCATCCATTGTTAAGGGGGGGTTTTATGGGTCCTTGGGAAACATGACTTTAATTCAACTGTACTAAGGGAGAAAGAATATGTACTAGGTGATAGATAGATAGATAGATAGATAGATAGATAGATAGATAGATAGATAGATTCGTAGATATAGATATATAGATATTTCTTAATGTCTAAGTCTCTAGATCAGTGATTCTCAAAGTGTGGTCTGGGGATATCTGGGGATCCCTAAGACCCCTCCAGAGAGTCCTGAAGGTCAAAAATGTTTTCATAATAGCACAACATGTTATTTGCCTTTTTCATTCTCATTCTGTCAAGAGTGTCCAGAGGAATTTTCCAGAGGCCACAAGATATGTGATGATGTCATCACTTAGCAGTAAATGGAATGTGTGCTTGTACAAGCTTGCATTTCAGACATTCCCCAGTTATAATTTTAAATACAGTAAAGAGTAGTAGATATAACCCACATAAGCAAATCTCTTTGGGATATTCAATAATTTTTAAGAGTTTAAAAGGAATCTGAGATCAAAAAGTGTGAGAGCCTCTGCTAGACTATCTCAAGTCCTCAAACCCCCATTTAAAAATATATAAGGCAAACATACCAAACTCATCTCTTAACTTTGAGACTCTGCCCCCAAAACTAGGCCCCCGAAGCTACTCTGCCTGGGTCTTGTCATTGTGTGTTTCAGGCTGTCTGGGTCCGACTTTCCTGACGAGGAGTGGCTGTGGAATTATGAGAAGCATGGCCACCGGCATTCCATGATAAGAAGAGTCAAGCGGTTCCTGAGTGCCCACGAACACCCCTCCAGTCCCAGAAGAAGAAGCTATAGAAGGCAGACAAGTGACAGCTCCATGTTCTTACCCCGAGATGACCTCAGCCCAGCCAGGGATCTACTGGATGTGCCCTTAAGAAACCCCCACAGGGCCTCACCCACCTGGAAGAAATCCTCCTTCCCAGAAGGAAGCCCCACGCTGCGCTCCAGCATCGGAGAGCTGTCCACCATCAGGGAGACCAGCCAGACAAGCACTTTACAGAGCCTGACCCCACAGTCCAGTGTGAGAACCTCGCCCATCAAAATGCCACTGGTGCCCGAAGTACTGATCACAGCGGCCGAAGCTCCGGTGCCCACTTCAGACAGCTACCACCATGACTCCGCTACCTCCATCTTGAGCTCTGAGTTTACAGGGGTTCAGCCAAGCAAGACTGAGCAGCAGCAGGGCCCCATGGGATCCATCCTGTCTCCTTCAGAGAAGGAAACACCTCCCAGAGGCCCCGGTCTCCAGACTGTTTCAGCCAGTGCTGAGGAAAATATATTCAACTGTGAAGAAGACCCTGGTGATACCTTTCTAAAAAGGTGGAGCTTTCCAGGATTCCTGGAGTCCAGCCACACTTCCCTAGGAAACCTAAGTCCAGACCCCATGAGTTCTCAGCCAGCTCTTTTAATTGACACAGAAACATCCTCAGAGGTCAGTGGGATCAACATTGTGGCTGGCTCTCGAGTCTCTCCTGATATGCTGTATTTAATGGAAAACCTGGACACTAAGGAAACAGATATCATAGAGCTAAACAACAGGGAAACTGAGGAATCACCCAAATGAGTGCCACAAAGTTCTAGGACCTGGTTCTGGCCTAGATTCTTATCTCCCCAAAAGCAGCATTAGTCCCAGGACATACCTGAAGGCTGGTTAACTTTTTAAAAACATGATCACACGATATAAGCTACTTAGAACTTTGAAGGGCATTATGATCCTGACTTTTTGAGAACTGCGAAAAATCAAATGCATTCACGTCATCCATCACAACATGGCTGTCACTGGAAGTTACACAGACTACAGTGATAAATAAGTCTTAACCAAATAAGGAATCTGAAAAATATACACGACTTACAAATTCATAGATTATTAGCTGTGGAAAGAGTCTCATAAATCATAGTCCAATCCCCTAGACCTAAAGGCCCAGACACATAGGGTTCTCTATTTCTCTTCTTTTTTCTCTTTCTTCTTCTCTTTAGCCATAAAGAAAGGAGATGGATCACACAATGCCTGAAAGACCCCCTCCTTCCTAACTTTTCGTTCGAGGCTTTCTAACCATCTCATTCCTACTTTCCGATAACTAGTATTGTTATTATCACTTCCTGATTCTTAAGCTTCATCAGCACCAGAACACTTCATTCTCTTCAATTTCCTTTTCTACTTTTGTCTCTTTCCCCTTTATTCTGTCATCCTTTTTTCCCCTTCCCTTCTCTCTGGTTGTGCTGCTTTTCTAGTGACTCTAATCTGTCCCATTTTTCAGGTTATAATATTTCCTCTTGCCAAATCTGTTGCTTACATCTTGCCATGAATTTCAAAATATAAGACATTGGCAAAGCCTCCTACAGAATCATCAAAGGTGTCAACGAATCCAGCCTGATACCCTTCTAGCCTCACTTCCAGTGGAAGGCCTATAGGAGTGATGGTTCCCCCCATGCCCTTGCAGCCATTGCCATTTCTTTCTGCTTCCACTCTTTGGTCTTGGGCACTGGAGAAAAATGAAGCCAAGAGAATATGAAATTTGCATAGCCAAATGCTATGGAACCAAAGAATAAGATGACTCACTCACGTCTGTTTAACTTGAACTCTTATGCAAAAATCCCAATCGTGTTGCAACGTGGGACCAGTTACTGTGTCTATCGGGTCATTTGGGAATGAGGTAGGATACTGGGCTGGGTGGCTAATGGGGTCCAGGGCTGCATAACGGGGACCGGATGTTGGTACTCCTCCCAGGGAGCTCTCAGGACGGCTGTTTGTCGTGAGCTCCCAGGTGCCTAGGCCATGCCTTACGACTGCTGCACTTACCATTTGTCATATGATGACACTTGACTTCATATGGCTTTAGAAATAAAATCACCCTCATAACTACCATTTATTGAGTGCTCACAGTGTTCCAGGCAGCAGCGAATCTCATGAGACTGATACACTGGTATTTCCATTTTAAAGGCAAGAGAAACAGGCTTTAGAGAAGTAAGGTATTTGCCTAAAATCACATAGCCAAGAAGTGACAGTGTTCACATTCAAACCCAGGTTTATCTGACTCAAGAGCCCACACTGTTAACCTGTATGCTTTCTCACTGTCCTATGCTATCTGTAAGGCCCTGAATCTGCCAGCAATTTGCCCAGCATTCTGGAGGATGCTCCAAGGGAGGCATGCCCAAAGAGATTTAGGTTCAGGCTGAATCTCTCCAGCCTCAAGGGCCTCTCTGGGTCCTCCCCGCTCAAGTCTACCTGGGTCTTTTATGCACTCATAGAGAAGGGCATTGCTCCAGCTTGGAGTACCAGCCATAGTCCTCTTTATTTTTCATGACAGAAGAAAGTTGGCAGGACCCTCCTTCCCTTCGCCAACTCCTCCTGATACACAATGTTAAAATTGGCACATTTTCACATGACCTCATATCTCCCAGGCCTCCAAGCTGCATGACAGCAATGACACTGACTTTAACTTTTCTCAAAGGATTGAAAAGAAATAATATTAGAGGAAATGCTACACACCTTGATGGTTCTCTATGTTGGTTGGTAGTGTTAGCACCTGGGAAAGCACCATTATTCCCAAAGCACTACGCATAGACTATGGGATCAAGAGCCAATATAACACTTCAAGAAGGCAGGACCCCTAACCTTCTCCCAGTCACCGCGCTCTTAATGCTATTTTATTGGATGTTTCAATTTCAGTCTGTCTATTCTCTTCTCTTTGGTTCTATCTGTTGCTCAAATTCAAGTAAGTTTCTACTTAGCTGCTTTTGAAATATAATCAGCTTTCATTCCTAAATCCAAGGTGATAAATTATACACAAATATAATAATACATTTATGAAGGGCTGGCAGTGTTCATTTATCTCTGCTTCCACGCACCCCTTATGCACTTTTATCCAGATAATTATTTAATTTCCTCAATATTTCTTCAAAATTTGAAATAGACTCTCATTTTCTCCTTGCAGTGAAAACTAAATTATGGCATGCTCGATGAGCCCATGTGGTTGAATTCAGCTATAAAATCAAGCCAGCAATTGCTCAGAGCAGATGAAGAAATTCTCTATTAATTCTAAAATGAGTTTTTACTCAACGCAGACCATGGTTGAAAAAAACAAAATGATTTCTTCTCATGTACCTGATTTCGTTGCCTGCCTAGCTCCTTTTCCCCGAGTGCTGGAACCTTCACCCACCTGGATGAATGGTCACATGGCCTGGTGCCTTAATCTTTTGGGTTTGCATTCCAAGAACAGGCTCAACTCTGTCACGTTAAATGTGACCCGAAAGCCAGAGAGTGCGGTGAGGCCAAGCTCTATTTGTTGTGTTCTCTCCCTGCTTTGTAGAGATAACTCTGCCCTGACACTGAGGTCTGCAGTTCAGTAAGGAAATGGCCCACTAACTTTTTCTCAATTTTCCAAGAATTTAGAGATGACTGGCCCCCAGCAAAACAAAGAAGACTGTTATCTCCCATTCCTTTACTGTCATGTCTACTTCATGGTGTATCGCCTCCATCACTCCAGGCATCCACTTTCAGCCTGGTTCAGCTAAGCTATGGAAAATATTTTAAATGGAATGGAAAAATGTAAAATTTGCCATGAAAGTAAAGATTTGTTTAAATCTTAAAAATATACCTCTTCTTTTAGTGTTTTCCCCTCTAGATTCCTTCTCCAGATAAATTAGATAAATTGATTCAATTTTTTCTTTTCTTTTTTTTTTTTTTTGTTGAGACAGAGTCTCACTTTGTCACCCACAGCTGGAGTGCAGTGGCACAATCTCTGCTCATTGCAACCTCCACCTCCTGGGTGTAAGCGATTCTCCTGCCTCAGCCTCCCGAGTAGCTTGGATTATAGGTACATGCCATCACACCTGGCTAATTTTTTTGTATTTTTAGTAGAGATGGGGTTTCACCATGTTGGCCAGGCTGGCCAGGCTGGTCTTGAACTCCTGACCTCAAGCGATCCACCCATCTTGGCCTCCCAAAGTGTTGGGATTACTGGGATTACAGGCATGAGCCACCATCCCCTGCTTGATTCCATTTTAAATCAGTTTTCTGAGATCTTATTGTTATAAAATCTACTCTCTGAGAATCTACTGAGCCCAAGTGGCTATGCGTTATAATGGGATAAAGAAAACCAGTGTTTTCCTTTATAAACTTGAAAAAGTCTCTGTTCTTCTGAACTTCTTATTCTCATCTGTAAAATGAGCTCTTTTCTGGCTCATTTCACTGGGCCTTCATGAGATGTCGTGAGAGAAGGCTGGGAATGCAGCAGCACCGTATGGATGGCAAGCATGACTGGGGATTAATGTTCCCATGGATTCACTATGAACTTCAGAAAAAGCCCTTCTTCTCTTCCTCATTTAGTTACTTGTTTGCCAGGATCTCCTTATTCTACAGGATTCTAACCTCTTTCATTCAGGAAGCTTTTCTTATTTCTTTTTTAGAGACAGGTCCTGCTGTGTTGCCCAGGCTGGCCGTGAACTTCCTAGCTCAAGAGATCTGCCTGTCTCAGCCTCCAAAGAAGCTGGGACTTACAGACATGCGCCACTGTGCCTGGCTCAGAAAGCTTTTCTTCTAAGACGCACACCATTAAGCTTCCAAATAATTGATCTTGTCATTTCTCTTTGGCTTTTTTTCCTTTCATATGCTTCCCAACTCCTCCCACGTCTTCTTTTTCTGCAGTGTTTTTTGTCATAGTTCTTCACTGTCCACCATATCCCAGGCCTCATTGTTATGGCAATGAATTCCTCCTCTGACCCATTATGTGTCTCCATCCCCTCAACCAAAACATGGAACTGGAGAAAAGTAGTTGCTTCTGTTTTCTCCACTATAAATCGAGAGGCTTTAGAACCCCTGGTTCAAAGTTAGAAGACCCTCTTGAGGTATCTAATCTCCCTAAATCTGGTCCTAGACCAGTTAATTAGAAAGAACAACTACAGCTGTAAAAACGCCTAAGCAAGAGCCAGTTGAAACCTATTTCCCCTGCCCCTCTCTCATCACAATCATCTACATGGTCAACAACAAACATTTTCTGATGTGCTGGGCCTATTAACAGCAACAACCAAAGATTTCCTCATTTCGTCTTGTTGAACTATGTCAGATAGGTCCTCAAGACTTTTGCATGCTTTTTTGTTTTTTTAGTTTCTATGGACCTTTTGGGACAGGCTTTTCCGGTCATAGGGCCACTGAGTCAAAAGAACCAATTCAAGAACACCAAGATCGTTCTCTTTTTGCAAATCTTACAAAACCCAGAAAAAAAGATTCCTATTCACTGGCAAAGCTCGAGAGACAGAATCCTAACAAACATTCACCTCTCTCCAAACTCTCTCTCTTCATCACCTCCACCTGTGCAGCCAGCTCGTGCCAGTCCATGGCAAATGGAAAACGCACCAATTTCCCTGTAAAATCAAGACCCAAAAACCACATTTGCCCAAGTAATTAATTCACTTTGGAGGTTACATTTTTGTGTTTTATTTTGTTTTGTTTCTAGGTTAATTCAGAAAGTGGACTCAAACCTCCCTTTTGCCACAGGTAGATTTGTCCAGGTGGTTACCTAGAATCATCTTCTCTGACCTTCTAATTTTAGACATTTGCCAAAAGCAGCAAAGGGAATGTTGTATCTTGTATCCTGAAAACAAATAAGAATGTTTCTAAAAAGGGTTTTGCACAGAAGTGCTGATGTGTTCCAGGTTCTTTGTCTAGGCCAGTGGCTCTCAGCCAGAGATGGCTTTGCACCCAGAAGATATTTGACAATGTCTGGAGATAATTTTAGTTGTCATGCTGGGGAGTATTTCTGGCATCTAGTGGGTAGAGGCCAGAAATGCTGCTAAATATCCTACAATGCACAGGACAGACGTCCACAACTATTTGGCCCAATATCCCAAGTTTGAGAAACCTGATTTAGGCCAATAAGAAGGTAAAAATGAGAAAACCACCAAGGAGATTAGTGATGAGAGATGAGCTAGAGAAAGAAATAGAAGAGAAGAGATTGGCCCAGCAACAGACTAAATTCCTATTCTGTGTACAAGCTGTGAAATAATTACCATTTCTCCCTTGATGATAGAGGATCCGATATCTCAAATTCAGAAAAATCGGATTTGAACCCGGAGGTTTATGCTTAGATTCCTTGAATGGCTCCTACCAGTAAGAGTAGCTAAATGCCATTGCTGGCATGACTATAATTTCCTTAGATTATAGTTTACATAAAGATTGACCATCGATCCGGCACAGTGGCTCATGCCAATAATCCCAGCACTTTGGGAGGCCAAGGCAGGCGGGTTGCTTGAGGTCAGGAGTTTGAGACTAGCCTGGCTAACATGGCAAAATCCCATCTCTACTAAAAAAATTACAAAAATTAGCTGGGCATGGTGGCGCACACCTGTAATCCCAGCTCTTGGGAGGCTGAGGCACAAGAATCACTTGAACCCAGGAGGCGGAGGTTGCAGTGAACTGAGATCATGCTACTGCACTTCAGCCTGGGCAACAGAGCAAGTCTGTCTCAAATAATAATAATAAATTCTTCCCAATATTATTGAAGAACTTGTGCCAATAAACTGCTAGACTGTGGATAGACAACTGATCTAGCTTCAGCTTTTATATATGTCTTTCTTAGGACTGAACAAACTGTATCTTCTAGACATGTAATTTGGCACTTTATTAGAAAGGACTTTTTAGTAGAAAAGTTACAATGGACGGGGTCAGTTTACCACCTTCCCATGGGCCAAAGTCATGGATTCCTCTGCCTCAGACTTCCAGGAGAATAACATCAAGGAATTTGTGAAATCCTGGATGATGTCACCAGTTGGACTCATATTCATAGTCATTCATGAAACATTAAGCAACTATTGAGTGTCAGGCATTCCACTAAAGCTGGGTGTCTGGGAAGTTCTGTCCCTCCCACCCTCCCTAACAGATCTGCCACTCTCTCTGCAGGTCCTGGGAAATAAGAACATGCCTTCTGAAGCTCATTCATGTTTGCCCCTGAGTTTGTTTTCTTCATCCCCAATGCTGTTCCCCATCCTAACTATTTTAGTTTAACGTGAAGCCCTTTGCTTGTATACATTCTTATAGAATGCATATTGTTTTGTGTGCAACTGTTTTTGGAGTATAGGTCTCATCTGTTTGTTTTTCACTTAGTACTATGTTTTTCACTTAGCACTCCCAAATTCTCTCTTGTAAATCTTATCTACTCCCCAAATTGCTTCTTGCTGCGTACTCCAGAATGTCTTATATCTCACTTACGTACTGTCCCAATTGCCTCTACCTCCCTCCAGAGACCCTAGGGACCTCCCTCCAGACACCCTAGGGACCCATAGAAGAGTTTCTTTGGGGTGTAGACCCATGAACAGATTGATCTCCTCCAGAAGTGTCCTTGCATCCCTTTCCCCAATCCCAAGCTTGGCATTGCCTCACTATCTGTTTTTTCCAGCCTGACAAATGTAAACGGATGCCTAACTGTTGTTTAATTGACATTTATCTGATTTCTAATGCCATTAAGCATCTCTTCATGTGCCTGTGCATCCTTTCAGGACTCTTCTTCTGAAAATTGCCTTTTCAACTTCTTTGCTTTTTTATCTAATGGACTTTCTATACTTTTCTTATTGATTTTCGGGAGTTCCTTCTGTTTCTAGACTGGTAATAGACCCTTGTTGGTTTCACACATTGTAGTGGTCTTTTCTGATCTTTTGTGTGTCTATTAAAAGTATCCATGGTATTTGTTTAATAGAAATCCTTAATTTAATATAATCAAATTCAT